AGTGCGCGTGTGAGTGAGTGAATGAGTGTGTGTGTGTGTGTGTGTGTCTGTGTGTGTCTGTGTGTGTGTGTCTGTGTGTGTGTGAGAGTCGCTGCCTGGCAACTGACTGTGATTCTGCTCGTGTGTCTTTATTACTGCACATGTTGACGCTGATAAACATCCCTTAAGGCGTGTTATTTACTGAATGGAAGCAATTTTAACATCAGACTGCAGCACAATATTAGACAGAACTACAAGGGATCATTTTATTTATAAATATTAGATTGCAGTATAAAACATATCTCAGTGGTATTTTTGCATTTTTAAGATACTGTTATACTTTTTATTCATAGTTTGAATTAGTTTTTATTTTTTGATTTTCCATTTTCATTTAAATGTTTAGAAATTTTGTTGTGTTTTTGTCCAACGATTCTGTGTTTTTCTGTCAATATGGGGTGCTGTGTGTACATTAATGAGGAAAAAAAATTAACTTAAATGATTTTAGCAAATGGCTGCAATATAACAAAAAGTGAAAAATTGAAGGGGGTCTGAATACTTTCCGTACCCACTGTATATAGTAATAATAATAATTATTATTATTAGTATAAACATTATTTATATTATATTATTTTATGAACAAAGTCTGTCCTTTGCAGCCAAGTTATGCACAAATAAAAGGAGAAAAATGACTGGCCTATTTCAGTGAGGACAGTAAAATGACAATCAGTCTTATGAACATCCAAACACAAATCAGACTCTGCAATTCTATAAAGGTAAAACACATGAAAATATTTTATATAGTAGACGAGACGGGCCTGTCTGAAGTCAGAAGGCTCCGGGTCGTACCTCTCTGTCCCGCCGGCCACTTCCTGTCTGTGTTTTGGCGGGATTCTTCAGCTGCTGCTCCAGGTTGTGAATCTCCTGCTGAAAGACGTCTCGCTCGTGCTCGCGGTCCACCGCCTGCTCCTGATGGACAGAGGGACAGAAACACTCGGACGATTAGCACGCTGCCACACTAAACCAGATAAAAACATCTGCGGAGCTTCATCAGTTCAATACAATACTGTTGTCTGCTGTGCGGTTAATGAACGTGGAAGTGATGAGATTAATCGCTTTTTGCTTTTATCACATCATTATGGAAGCTTATTTCTGCTATGGAATAAAAAATGTTTAATTAAAAAGGCAATTTTGACTTCTCACAATTCTGACTTTCCCCCCGCAATTCTGAGTTTATATTTCACAATTCAGACTGAGAAAAAAAGTCAAAATTGCAAGAATTGCAAGAAAAAAAATCAGAATTGTGAAAAAAAAATCAGAATTACAAGAAAAAGTCAGAACTTTGAGAAAAAACAGAATTGCGAGAAAAAAGTCTGAATTGCGGGAAAAAAGTCAGAATTGCAATAAATATTCAATTGCAAGATATAAACAAAGATTAAAGAGAAAAAAAGTCAGGATTGCGGAAAAAAAAAAGTCAGAATTATGAGAGAAAAGTCAAAACACAAGGAAAAAGTCAGAACTTTGAGAAAAAACAGAATTGCGAGAAAAAAGTCTGAATTGTAGGAAAAAGTCAGAATTTTTAGAAAAGTCAGAATTGCGCAACAAACTCAGAATTGCGAGAAAAAACAGAATTGCAAGAAATATTCAAGAGAAAAAAAGGCAGGATTGCGAAAAAAAAAAGTCAGAATTATGAGAGAAAAGTCAAAACACGAGGAAAAAGTCAGAACTTTGAGAAAAAACAGAATTGTGAGAAAAAAGTCTGAATTGTAGGAAAAAGTCAGAATTTTTAGAAAATTCTGAATTGTGTGACAAACTCAGAATTGCGAGAAAAAACAATTGCAAGAAATATTCAATTGCGAGATATAAACTCAAAATTATAAGCAAAAAGTAAAAATTGCAAGAAAAACGTCAGTATCGCATGATAAAAACTCTAAATTGCATAATATAATCTCAGAATTGCAAGAAAAATCAGAATTACGAGGAAAAAGTCAGAATTACGAGAAAAAGTCAGAACTTTGAGAAAAAACAGAATTGCGGAAAAAAAAGTCTGAATTGCGAAAAAAAAGTCAGAATTACGAGACAGTTCAGAATTACGCAATAAACTCAGAATTGCGAGAAAAAACAGAATTGTAATAAATATTCAATTGCAAGATATAAACTCAGATTACAGAGAAAAAAAGTCAGAATTGCAAGAGAAAAGTAAAAATATGATTAAAAGGTCAGAACTTTGAGAAAAAACTGAATTGCGAGAAAAAGGTCTGAATTGCGGGAAAAAGGTCTGAATTGCGGGAAAAAGTCAGAATTGCGAGAAAAAAGTTAAAATTATGAGAAAAAGTCAGAACTTTGAGAAAAAACTGAATTGCGAGAAAAAGGTCTGAATTGCGAGAAAAAGGTCTGAATTGCGGGAAAAAGTCAGAATTGCGAGAAAAAAGTTAAAATTATGAGAAAAAGTCAGAACTTTGAGAAAAAACTGAATTGCGAGAAAAAGGTCTGAATTGCGAGAAAAAGGTCTGAATTGCGGGAAAAAGTCAGAATTGCGAGAAAAAAGTTAAAATTATGAGAAAAAGTCAGAACTTTGAGAAAAAACTGAATTGCGAGAAAAAAGTACGAATTGCAATAAATATTCAATTGCGATATATAAACTCAGATTACAGAGAAAAAAGTCAGAATAGCAACAAATGACTGAGAAAAAAAAGTCAGAATTGCGAGAAATAAACGGTCACGTTGAAGAAGCATGCTGAAGTGACTCACGTCCATGAACTTGCGGTTCTTCTCCAGCTGCTTCTCTAAGGCCTGTATCTGCTGCCGCAGGTCTGCCGTCTCGGCGCTGTGCATCTCCTGCAGCTCCTGCAGATGGCTCACCTGCTCCTCCAGCTCCGCCTCCAGCTGCTTCACCTGCTGCAGCAGCTCGCCGCTCTCCTTCTGCGCCTGACGCTGCACCTCCACCTTCTCCGCCATCAGCTTCTCCGTCTCCTCCAGCAGGTCTGAGGACAGCAGACGCTCGTTAGCAGAGCCACGCAGGACTGACTCGTTTGACGGATGACAAAACGTGGAGCAGCTTCAGAGACTCGTTCACAGCTTTGAATGCAATGTCAAAGTCTCAAAAGCAATTAATGCCTTTAAGATCAACTTTAAAGAAAGATTATGTTCTCAGCACATAATAAACTTAATTTATAGGAAGCCAACTGCTTGGTAAAAAGGAATCTCATGAAATTTGTCAACAACATGTTCGGATCATATTTAACCACAAAATCAAAAGAAACAGAGTAAATCACATTTTGACAGAACTGAATTTTTTTTTAGGAAAATACAAATAATTTTAGTTGTTACGCTTAAACTATTAAAAGTTGTTTTCGGTAATTGAAAAAAAAAAAAAGCTAAAATCTAAACATTGGATGACAATCTTAAACTTAAACGTTAATTATAAATGTTGCTAACTGAAATAAGCTGAAGTACTAAAATTACTAAAACAAAAAAAAATTGTCATTTAATAGAAACATTTTAAAAAAGTGACCTATTAAAAATTAAACCAAAATTAAAATGAAAAATGAAAATATAAAAACAAAAGCTAGAAAATTTGCCTTATCTTGTTATTGTTAACTAAAACTATTAAAAGTTGTTTTATTAAAATAAAATATAAATATTAGATGGAAAATCTTTAACTTTAAATCTAAAACTTAACATAAAAACATAAAAACTAAAATAAGTTTAAGTAGAAAAATACTAAAAATAGTAAAAGTACAACTGAAAAAAAAATAAATGATTAAATATTTATCATTACAATTTTTAACATTAACACACAATGTGTTATGAACTTGTGTATTTATTTATGAATATTATTATCTTTTTATTTTTAAAATAAATTAAAGCTAAAAACTAACAAAAATAAGCACATACATAAACTATTATGAAAACATAAAATGTAAAAAATATTTAAAAAAAAGCTAATTCAAAATATTAATAAATACTACAATAGAATTAATATATTACTAGAACTACACTGCATAATTGTTGTAAAAATAACAATAAAAAAATTAAAACCAAACTAAAAACAGGTTTAAATTTTCTTAATTTAATTTAAAAAAATGGAATGTTCTTAATTTTCAGCTAAATATAATTTCTTGTTTTGTTCTTTTGATTCTGTGATGATCGTGACATGTTTTTGTACGCGTTCTCTGCGGTTCTCCACTTTTGTCTCCGGCTGCATACGGCACATCGGCGGGACAGATTTCCCATTTCCCACAATCCTTCCCAATCCTGTACGATCCATGATCACATGATCCCGTCAGCACCCACCGAACCAACCCACAGTGCAGGAGAGGCCGAGGGGCGGAGCCAGTGATGTCACGGAAGGGGAGGGGTTAAAGTGCAAATGCGAAAAGAAAGGAAAAGGAAAAAGAAACCTGTGCTTTATTGAACAGCCATCAGCTGAGGACAAATCACAGTCTAATACAGACACAGTTCACACTGGTTTAGTTTCATTTAATGAGGTAAATCACGTTCAATAAGGAATTGGCACATTTAAAATCCTCACTGAAAAATATTAAATATTTATCATTACAATTTTTAGCATTAACACACAATGTGTTTTGAATTTGTGTATTTATTTATGAATATTGTTATTATCTTTTTATGTCGATATGTCTCTGTATAGCAAACTCTGAGCTTAAGAAATATAATTATTATTTATTATTATTATTATTATTGTCACTGTTATTTTATTATAAATATTTTATTTTCAATATACTACGATGATTTTGAATTTCATTTTTATATTTTGTTTCCAATTTAATTTTAGTTGAAGTTGTGTGTTTTGCCATTTTCATTATTATTATTAGTCTATATAGATTTACTAATTATATTTATTAATTTCAGTTTATTTAGGTTTTTTTATTATTATTATTTTTGTTATTTTAGTACTTCAAAGTTTTTTTTTTTCATATTTAATTTGAATTCAGTTAATGTTTATTTTATTAAACTAAAGAAAAATGAGAAATGTTGCCTTAGAGCTAGATGAAACAAGTTAATTTTTTTAATATTTTATTTCAGTCAATATTTATTTTATTTTATTAAACTAAACAAAGATCAGAAATGTTACTTTGGCAACTAAATAAATTAAAATTAAACTGTAAACATTAACAATATTAATAAGTAATAATGTTTTTATGTTTTAGTTAACTATCATAACCCTGATTATTGTTTATTATTATATATTAGTACAAGTATTATATTTTATTATTATTATTATTATTATTCCAGGTGAAACGCCACAGTCCTGAAGCACAATCCACCACATTAGATGTTACGGGTTGATGTGGAGATGGCTGTTCAATAGCTGCCAGCCGCGGTTAACCCATGCTAGCGCAGATGTCGAGTGATGTGATGTTAATGAGCTCAAGCAGACGAGGCAACGGTTAGTCCATCAGTGGAGCCAAAAACAAGCAAAGCTCCAAGCTGCTGTTAAGTGTTCATTGATCAGTGCGTGCTGTCAATCAATCGATCGATCGATCAGAGACAGTGATACACAGCGTGCTGGCCATGCCACTCGTGAACACACACACACACTCTCACACTCTCACACACACACACACACACACACACACACACACACACACACAC